TTTAGGGTTCAGGGTTTAGGGTTCAGGGTTCAGGGTTCAGGGTTTAGGGTTCAGGGTTCAGGGTTTCAAAAAAAAAAAAAAAAGAAAAAAACAAAAAAAAAAAAAAAAAAATTAGAAAGTATAAATAATTTAAATATTATATATATATATATAAAAGCTTATATATGTATATATATAATTATATACAAATAATAATACTTTAAAATTTATATTACTTTTAGAGAGTTTTTAATTTAAAAATCTTTAAAATTAAAAAGAATTGTGTACATTGGATATAAAATTAGAACTATATAACTGTCAGTTCTTTAGAGTAATTTGAATGTTTTTATTTTATTTTATTTTTTTTTATTTTTATTGTGTAATGGAATAAATTCATAAAAATAATATTAATTCTGATGATGAAAAATGATTTATCTTTATGTGCTTATATAATGAGAAACTACAAAAAAAAAAAAAGAATATGTATTATAAATAAATTTTTTTCTTTTTTTAAATAAGTATAACCATATAGTATTATAAGTTGTTATTACTTTATTTCATTTTATTGTTTTTATTTTTATTTTATTTTTTTTTATTTATTAAAAAAATATTATTAGCATTTGATATTGCTTTTATTTCATTGTATACCTAATATGATTATTTATAAAATTTTAAAAAAAAAAAAAAAAAAATTAGAAAAAGAAAGAAAAAGAAAAACATTCTAAAGGATGATATCTTTTGGAACTATTTTTATTTAATAAAATAGATATATATATATATATTTATATATATATATGTATAATTAAAAGTATGAATAAAAAATTAAAATACATAAAAAAAATTGCAAAGAATACAGAAAAGAATATGGTTAGTAATTTAAAACTAAGTGATAACATGAATAAGGATACAAATTATAAAAGTAGTATAAACAAAGAAAAAGATATAAATTATATTAAGAATATAACAAAGAATTCAAATAAAAATGAAAATGAAGAGAAATCTAAAGAAGAGGTAAATGAATATTATAAAGAAAGTAACGAAGATATAAATAATGAACATTTAGATAAAAAAAAATATATTATAAATGGTGATTCCTTTAAAAATATAAAAAATGTAAACCATAATACTTTAATTTTTGAAGATAAAACGAAGGAATTGGAACATTCTGTTGATCATTTAGAAACTAAATTAACAAATAATAAAACAAACATTTATTTGGATAATAAAGAAGAAGATAAACAACAGGAAAGAGAAGATATTATAATGAAAAATAGTAAACAGTTAAAAAAAGAAAAAAAAAATAAAAGAAGTTTTAATGTAAAAAGTAATGAAAAAATGAATTATAATAATATAGAATTTAGTGAAATTTGCACAAATGAAGATGAATTAGATAGCAATTATTATGATAATAATACCATGTTAAAAAGTAATAATATGAAGGATATGTTCAAACCTAACGAATGTAGCAATATCAATTATATTGATTCAAATGATAGTATCACTGATGAAAAAAAAAAATTAAAAGAATTTGTCAATAATAAAAAAGAAACTGATGAAGATTATGTTAAAATTTTATCTTTTATGAATAATTACAATGGTAATATAGTTAATTTAAACAATAATACTAATACTACTACTAATAATAATACTACTGCTAATAATGATACTACTGCTAATAATAATACTACTGGTAATAATAATACTAATAATAATATCAATACTAATACTACTACTAATAATAATAATACTAATAGTGATACTACTACTACTACTACTACTACTATTAATAATAATAATAATAATAATATTACAACTACTAATAATAATGATGATAATGATAATAAAGAAGCAGAAAATAATAAAAGTAAAAATGATATACATGATATTTATATTAGGAATATTGAAGAAAATAATGATGATTTAAATTTAAAAAAAGTAAATGAAAATAATATAAGAGAAGATAATAAATGTAACCATAATATTGGAATAAATAATGAATATAATAATGATGACAAAAATAATGAAACAAATAATCATAATAATGAAATAAATAAAAAAGATAATTTAAAAAATATTGAGACATTAAATATAATAGATAATATAAAAAATGAAGATTCAATTTTAAATGAAAAAATGAAAAAATTTATTAATGATGATAAAAAAAAAGAAATAGAAAATTTGAATATGAGTGATACAGAATTATTGAAAACTATGAATTATAATAACATTCCTCAAAATTGTGAATATGAAGAAGTTTTAACTAATATAATTCAATTTAATAAGGATAAAGTTGAATTAAATTTAAATAGAGGAGAAATTTATTTAAATGAAAGTGAGTATACGTTTACTTCATACTTTTTATTAAGTAGTGGTTTTAGATTTTATCCTATTGAAGAAATTAAAAAAAAAAAAAGAAAAGAATTTTTAAAAATAGAAGAATTAAATGATATGAAAAGAAGAGTAAAATGTGATAATAAAAAGTGGGAAATAAAAAAAGAAGACAAATTTTCACAGGAGGTAAATGAGGAAAGTAATAATGATTATGTGAAAAAAGAAGAGTTAATAGGAAAAGATAATATTAATAAAAATATGGAAACAAATTATGAAAATATAAAAAATGATGAAAAAGAAGATAATATAGAAGAAAAGAAGAAAAATGAACTTTTTGATGAAATTTTAACAAATTTAAAGAATGATTTTTATAATCAAATTTTAAATATAGAAAATAATTTTAAAAATTTAGATAATAAAATAGAAAATAATAATTCTTTTAATTTTCATTGTATAATGGAAAAATTAAAGAATAGAAAATATAATAATGTTTTATATATTTATAATGATATATATTTATATTTAAATAATTTATTATATTTATCAAAACCTTCTAGTTACATATGGATGAAATTACATGAATTATCTACTCAAATAACTAATACTATTTACAATATACAGCAAAAAAAAGAGCATTTATGGAATAAAAAAATGCATAATTCTCAAAATGAAGAAATAAATGAAAGAGAAAAAAAAAAAGAAGAAATAGAAATAGATAAGCAAAAAAACGATCAATCTATAAATGAAGAAGAGAAAATGGCATTTCAATTACTACTTAGTAAATTGCATCAAGATATACATTTTGAAGTATATAAAAAAAAATTCCAAAAAAAAAAAAAGAATATATATATATTTATTAGTTTTATATATGATTGTGTATTTGTATTTTAATTTTATATATATTTATATATATATTTTTTTATTTTAGTTATTTAGAAAATTTAAAAATAAGGCTGTATGGAAAACATTAGAAGGAGGAGAAATAGAATTAGATGATAAATCAACAAAGGCTTATGTTTTTAGGTAAGATTTGTATATATATATAAATTTTTTTTTCTTTAATTTATCTTTATTTTGTATTTCATTTAAATTAAAACACTTAATATTTTATTTTTTTACAGAGATATGTATAAATGGTGTAAAGCTCAATTAGATATAAGAAGTAAAAAAAGTGACGCATCTGAAAGTGATTCTTCAAAAGATTCTTATTAAAAAGTTATTTTATTTTATTTTATTTTTTTTTTTAGTATGTATATATAAATGTAAAGAAAACAGTAGAAATAAAATGAACAAGTAGAATGATAATATATTTAATATTTCTTATTATGATATATTTATATTGATTATATATTTTTCTTAATTANTTTTTTTTACGCTTTATTCGTATTTTTTAAAAATACATAATTTATAAATAACGACAGTTTGCTTTTTTTTTTTTTTTTTTTTTTTTTTTTTTTTTTTT